CCTCCTCTCTGGCGTCCTGCTGGGCGATGGTGGGGGGGGCTCGTCAGTCCGTCCGGGCCCGTGTTCGGGGCCAGTAGGTGTGGATTCTCAGACTCACAATAAACCCTGTAACGAAGGACCCAACGGGAGCACAGCTGTCTGGACTGAAAGCTGGAGACCCGGTCTCGCTCAAGGCAAGGGCTCTTCTTTTAAGCCTCCATATCCGATCTCCCGGCCGCCCCTGGTTGGACGGGAGACCCCCAAGGAAGTCCCGGGTCGCGACGCAGAGGCAGGCAGGGGCCAACCCCCTCCGTCCCTCTCTTCCGTGGGAGCCCCCGGGGCTCGCCGCCAGCCGACTTCAGGCGCACACGGGTCCGAGGGGGACTTGGCGCGCCCTTTGCCCCCGGATCGGGGCCGCTGCCTGTGGCTGGCCTCCAGGGACTCCCTCCGCAGAGGGCAGCGAGCGAGGAGGCCGGAGCCGCTCCGTGAGCCTATCCCCGTCTAGCAAGGCCGCGCTTTGGATTGGCCTGCCTGCCTGCCGCCGCCGCCGGGCTTCCCTCTCAAGGATGCCGCCGCCGGGGCCGGACGGCAGGTGGGACGCGGGAGACTTTCTCCCACCCGCAGCGGGGCTCCGGACTGACGCTCAAGGCCAGCAGCTGCCTTCCTTTTGAACGCGACAAGTTCGCCGCCTGGCCCTTCCGAAGCCTGGCAGGAGGAGGGCTTCAGCGCGGGAGAGCCGGGCGGCAGAATCCCTCGGGGAGGCAAGCCTCCAGCCAGCTCCCGGCAGCGCCTCCTGCGCCGGTCCCGCGAGAGGGCCAGGCGAGGCGCCCAAGAGCAGGGCCCGTCGGGGGTCAATAGCGCTGCCTGGGCGCAACAAGGGACCGCGCCCTTGGGACCCGCTCCCGGGCATTTCGCGCAGGAGAACTTCCAGGGACCAACTCGAGGACCCTGTCTGGAAAAGGGAGGTGCCGCGGGAGTTACTGCGCACCACCGACCCCCCTTGGTCATTGCAAGAAGACCGACACGTTTTGCTTAAAAGTGAGGGGGGGGTGACCTCGTGTCCAGTTCTGTCGGTGCCCGTGAGCCATACTGGGGCAGCGGAGCTTCCACGTCCAGAGGCAGTATCGAGGCAGCGCTTACTTGAAAGGGCAGCGGCGGGCGAGGGGCGGGCTGCCTAGTGACTTTCTCCGGGGGGGCATCAGAGGGGGGGCGCTGTGGGCAGCAGGACGCTGGGCCTCCCGTCGACTTGCGAGATCGTCTCACGTTGGCTCCGGAGTTTTCCAGGCCAGGGAGCAGGGGCAGAGGAGACGGCCCTCGCCGGGGGGGGCGGGCGCCGTTCTCTAGCTGCTGCCCCGGCTCGCAAGGAATGGGACGGGCGGGCAGCTTCGCGGGGAAAGGAAGGAGTCCACCGGCCGGCCGGCCGGAGGAACTGAGGCGGCCGGGTCGCAGCCCTCAAGCGGACGGCCCTGGCCTGGCGGGAGTCCGTCTCCTCAAGGCTCCGCCGGGACCGCCACGTCCCCCCTGCCGGCAAACGCCGGCCTCTCGCTGGAAAGATCGCCGGGAGAGACGGAGGGAGCTCTGAACTGGCCCGGGAGGGGCTCCAGCTGGAAGGGACGCCGCGAGGAGTCTCTGCGGGGGCCGCGGCGGCTGCTGCCGCTGCCGGACTCCCGGGAGATGGCGCCCACCCCCTCCCTGGGCTGGCTGAGGCTCGGCCGGCGCCGGTAGACAAGGCGCGCCGTCGCAGCGGAGCGGGTTCCTGCCAGCCCCATGCGCGGCCGCAATCGAGACGACTGCAGCCGGGGTGGGGGCGGGAGGAGGGCATCGGATTAAGAAAACGACCCCCCAAAAACCCGAGGGTGTGGCCCTCTGCGGAACAGACGGCGCTCGCTCGGGAGTCCTGGGTCAGTTGATGCTTTCAACCTGAGGAGCAGAAATGCCCGGCTGGGCACAGGCGTCTCTCTCGAGGTGCAGCTGCGCAACATGTCCCGTAGTTGAAGGGGGCACATCCTCAGGGACGCTTAATCCAGAGGACAGCCCCCTGGGTCCGCCTATAATCTGGCGGTTCCCAACCAATTCCCTCACCCCATTTGTCACCCGGGCAGCACGAGAGAAACCCACTCCGCGCCTTAGTCTGGGAGAGACTGTAGTGTGCGTTGGGGGTTGTGGGGGAGTCGCAGTTGCTCCGTTTTAATGCCAAGGCATTACCTTCATTAATTTATCTGTTATTAATTTTATGATCTTTAGTGTGCGCCGTAAAGGGGAGAATTGCTTCTTTCTTTCTTTCTTTCTTTTTAATTACAAGGCAGTCTTCCGCAAAATTCTCGGCGTCTCCATTGGAAGCTCGTTTCGCTCGGTCTCTTCCAAGAAGCATCACGCCAGGTGCGTCAATGCTAACGGTGGTCTGGAGTTCCACAGACGCGGCGATATTTGATTAGAAAGGATTGTTTTGATGTTTCTTCCGTGAAAACAAACAAAGCAATTTCCGGCACGAAGTTAAACGCTGTGATATCCTCTTAGATTACGCACGCCCTTCGCTCTCTCCCATTAAAAAAAAATCATTTAAACAATCTTAACTTTAGCAGGATCCTACTTTTAACTGGTGAAATCAGAGCATCACAGAGACAGATTCCTAGCAATGTCTGTTTATAGACCTTGGTTTTTGCTTTTTGTTTTAAAATCGCACTACATTTTATTCCTGAACCAACTACATTTGTGGGATTCATTTTAAAAGTCTTCTTTCGTTTGTTTTTGGGTAAGAAAACCGAACCAGGGTCAACGGATGTAACAGCCCAGTCCTAAATCTGGAGGTGAATTCCACTTAAATAAACAAAGCCCAGGGGCACCCTAAAGACTACCAAAAAATCCATTCCATTGTAAGGTTTTGTGACATAAACTGGACATTCACTATATTTAGAATCGAAGTGTTGATGTATGAGCCCACTGAGCTCAATGTGCTGAGCATTGCAGGTTAGGTACGGTTATCGCTCACGCCTATGCAGAGTTCCTCCATGGATTTAACTGGGCGGAGTCTGGGCGGAGACTGGAGAGTGCTCTTAGGACAGAGAATATGGAGGGAAAGAAACTGGAAAGGGTGTCACACGAGGATGTATTCTCCTCCCTAACTGTTCGATTTCTAGGCAGAACATATCATAAGAGACACTGGATGAGATGTAGATGAAGGTGGAGTGAAAATTGGTGGAAGGAGCATTAACAGTTTGAGATATGCAAGATGACACCACATTACTGGCGGAAAATAGTAAAGCCTTGAAACGACTCCTGATGAAGGCTAAAGGAGAAAGTGCTAAAGCGAGATTGCAGCTGAACATCAAGAAGTCAAAAACGAAAGATTTCCTACTCCTTGGCTCCACCATCCACCAAAAGGGAGGTCGAGACTGAGAAGGGCAGTCATGAAGGCGCTGGAAAAGATCCCGACGTGTAAGGATGCGTTGCTGGCCCCCAAGATCAAGATAGTTCATACCATATAGCGTTCTCCATCGCTGTGCATGGGCGCGGAAGTTGGACAGTGAAGAACTGCTGACAGGAAGAAAGTGGATTCATTTGAAATGTGACGTTGAAGGAGAGTTTTACGGCTACCATGGACGGTCAGAAAAACCAATAGTTGGGTTCCAGATCACTCTCCCTAGAAGCTGAAATCATACGAAGAGAAGACAAGAGTCACCGGGGAAAGACGTATCCGAGGAAGTGTGCTTTGCACATGAAAGCTCATCCCTTGAATAAACCTTTGTTGGTCTTAAAGGTGCCCCCACTGGACTCTAAATTTATTCTGCTGCTGACTACCTGGAACTATCTTCGTGGAAAAGACGATAAGGCTAGGAAAAGCTGAAGGCAGCAGGAGGGAAAGAGGAAGCCCCAACAGGAGATGGATTGACTCACTCAAGGAAGCCGTGGGTGGCCCTCGGTTTTTGCAAGACCTGAGCAAGGCTGTTAAGGACGTTTGGGAGGGTATCCGCTCGAGCGATCTGAGGGCACTTCACACACACACACACACACACACACACACACACACACACACAAGAGCAGTGGAGCAAATCTGCTCGGGATTGCGCCGAGTCCGTCAGGTGCCTTCCCTAAATCCCCTCCCTTTCTTTTTGCTGCCTCAGAGGCACCAGATTCCTACCCTTCGGGCCCCTTTAGCCCCTCTTTCAGGATTTGGCTTTTACTCCCCCGCCCCCAGGTTGGCTCCACTGAAGGACAATTACTCATCCAGCCCCGAGGCCGAAGCGCCGGATCCGGACCAACCGGCGTGGCACTTGAAAGGCAGGCTGCAAACTCTGAGTTGACCCAGACCCCCCTGTCCACCAAGGTGGACGGCCCCAGGTCGGGGAAGGACAGATGACAGGACATCTCTGTGTCCGCCGTGGCGGCATTCGTTCCCCGCCCCGCCTCCCACTTGGGAAGGACTGGACCTCCTGGGGGGGGGGGGAATCTCTCTCTGTGGCCAGCGCCTGGCTCCAGGGGTCGTGTGACTCGTGTCTTGGGGTCGTGGATTCGGGCTTGCGTCAGAGGCGCCTCGGCTTGGTGAGGACCGGGAAGGGTCCTTTCGGACCTGGGGTGGTGGCCGAGAGTGGTTCTGTCCGTGGGGCTTCTAGTCCAGGCTGAATCCCAGCGCGTTGCCCTGCCCGAACCGTCCAAGGTTTCCCTTCGTGTGCGCGGTCTTGCCAATCCAAGTCTTTCTCTCCGGAGACATTTCGCGG